TTTTTTTTTTTTTTTTTGGTAGAAAAGGAGATAGCATAGGTTAGAGGAAATGTGGATGTTTTTTTTTTTGTTTTAATTGATGATTGCAGGACCAAGAGCACTTGCTGTCAAAGGGGAGGTTCTTAGCAAGATAATATGCAGTTTTAGATTTAAAAAGACCATTGCTAGAGTACCCCCAAATAAAAGTATCAGTTCCAGCATCAATTACATTAAAAGGAATAGCCCTTAGTCTATTAATAATATCAGTAGGGAGTGAATATGAGATCAAATCACAGTTCCATTCCCGGAGGAAAGAAAAGCATCTCTAATAGTAATATCAGGGGCATTAACCTAGTGTGGCCCATAAATCACATAACTAAGGGGATCCTTATCCACCCATGTATCATACCAAAAGGAGATTTTATTGCCCATACGAGGAATCCATTTAATACCCTTATCAATGATGTGTTTCCACTTTTTTATATTCTTAATCACTGGGGAGGCCTTGTCCAAACTGCTACTAGGCTCAATAATATTAAATTTGTCCCGAAACGCCTTAGCCTAAATATTATCTTTTTCCGTAAGCATACGCCAAATAGCATGAGTTGCTGCTGGAAGAAACATTCCTTGCATAGAATAATTAGGAATGGATGACAGAACTGAAGAAGCAAGAGTAGTCCTACCAGCAAGGGACAACATACTAGCTTTCCAGCCAGTGAGTTTTTGCCGCACCTTATCCACAATAAAGTTGTAATCTGATTTAGAGATCCTTTTGGGAGTAATGGGGACACCAAGATATTTTCCCAAATTATCCGTTTCAGCAATGGAAAGAACGGAACAAATAGCATTCTTGACAGGCTCCGAGGTATTGACAAAGCAAGGTTTGGTAGAAATACTTTAGGCGATGTATTTACAATAATAAAAATATAATCGGAGTCAGGATTTTACACGTGTAAGTTAATTTATATAAAATTATCTAAGAGTGGTTGAGATGGTACTATGATCCTATATTTAATACAATATTATACCAATGGTTTTATATTAAAATCGTAATTGAGGAATTTCAACAATTATTTTCAAGGGCTGCACATTCTTAACAATAAAAAGATTTATCTAATTTGTACTTTTATAGTACATATTAAGAATGTAATTAATATATTTTGAATGTAATTAATATATTTTTTTAATATTAATTTGTATAAAAAATAATAAAAGTTAATATTAATTTTATTGTTAATGTTTATGTATTGTTTTAATTGGATGATTGATTAAATAAATATGAATTTTTATTTTTTTAATGATAAGTAATACTAAAAAAATGTTCTTAATCTATACTCTAAATAGGTAAGGTAGAAGAATCCAAAATAAAAATAATAATAAGCCGCGCCACAAAACAGAATCAAAGGACATTTCGCATGGAATGAACTAAATTAACCAAAATTTGACAAATAAAGCTTAAAATGGTCCACTCTTTGCTAAATGTACTATTAATCCATAAAACATTCTCCTAATTTGGCCCATTAAACCATACAAAATCAGATATAGGGGATTTGGCGAAGCTCCCTTTTGGGAGGTTGTTTATAAGTAATTTTTTCTCTCTTAATTTTGAAAATATTTTGAAGAGAAAGAGAGATTTTAAGCGCTTGCTTCAAAAATATGCAAATAGAATATAACCTCAAATTGGCTCATAATAATTTAATTAATGATAAATAAACATGTGTTTTTAAGTTTAAACCAGAACTGCACAGTAAAATATGAAATTGCTAAAGTACTATATTG